TTCATCGCCATTGTTGGCAAACGGTTCTGTGTTGGAATAAACAAGATACTGGGTTTGTTATTTTCTTTTTGTAGTGGGGCTTGATTATTCTGATCATCGTTAAGTTTGGTGTGTCAATTGTAAGTGTGTTCGTGTATCTGAAGCTGGGAAATAAAAAATCTTTGTTATTTACCTACGTTTATAACTTTATTAATTTCAGTGCTAAGGGTCAACCGTGAGTTGTTTGTTGAACCGATGTTCGCTAAACTGCTATGCAAGGTGATGATTTCCGGTTGCATCTTGCATCCCACAGACACCCTTATCCCGCGCTTCTCCTGATTTTATTGCGTTGCATTGCGTGCCGAAAGCTTTAGTAAAATAATCCATATATTATTATGTAGTTAGCAATTTTAACTTAGTTTAAATCTTAACATTTCAGTTTCGTGTTAGGTTTCCGTAAACAATAAGTCGTGATTAACAAAACGGCGGTGTTGTGTTTGTAAAGAAATATCATTACTTAATGAATTAATAATTAATTTAGAGAAGATACAAAGTCGATTATAATAAAATCAAACAATAATACAAAAGCTCGTAAATAATCAAGTTAAACTAATAAATAAAGCATTCGACTTCTGAAAGTGCGTGCTCTATCTACTGCACGGATCTGATGCGAGGCAGTTTTCATTTGGAGCTTTTGAAATTTACAGAGCTTTGAAACAAAACGACTGAAGTGAAGTATGAAATAAGTCGTATCTAACTAAACTGCTAACCTTGTTTCCAGAGCATGTGTATTATAGGCATGCACGGGTATGTACCACATACCTGTCTATTTCTTCCACGAAACAAACACGCGCTCCAAGTTGAACAGTTGAGATATTGAGTTCAAGTTTCTTTTTTTTTTCTTGGATTGGTGGACGAACACACGGCCCATCTGATGTTAAGTGACTAGCGGAGCCCATAGACATCTACAACGTAAATGCCGCAATTTTGCACCTTGAAATATGAGTTCTACGGTATAGTTATAACGGCTGCCCCACCCTTCAAACCAAAACGCATTAGCTTCACAATAGAAAATAGGCAGTGTGGTGGTACCTACCCGCGCAGACTCACAAGAGGTCCTACCACCAGTAATTACGCAAATTATAATTTTGCGGGTTTTGATTTTTATTACACTATGTTATTCCTTCACCGTGGAAGTCAATCCTGAACATTTTTTAAATACGGGTTTCATTAGAAAAATTGGTACCCGCTTGCGGGATTCGGACACCGGTGCATCTCACGATATTACTGCACTGGACGAATTCTTCTTCTATATCGTTCCCTCACTACTGAGGATCGCGACCACATGCGATGTACTTCCAATGCACCCGATCATGGGCGGCATGGACTGCATGGTACAGACTACCACCGAGTGCTTCTCTTGCCAGATCTGACCATCTGGCTGGTGTTCTGCCCACGGCGCGCTTGTCTTCTATTCGACCCGTAATTATGAGCTTCTCTAATTCATGTCTGGGAGACCGCATGATGTGTCCGAAGAAGCTCATAACACGTTCCCGGCAGATGGAAGAGAGCCTTTTTCGGATGTCTAGCTGCCTTAGAATGGACTCGTTTGTTCGCATGGCAGTCCACGGTATTCGCAGCATCCTCCGCCACACCCACATTTCAAANTCGGCGCCACGACCACCAGCCCTCTCGGTCGGCAGGCTGTCCGAAGCCCGCCTAGATGGCGCCGGTTTGAATAGGTTATCCTACGAAATACCCCGCTGGGTCAGAACCAGCGTGGGTCGAGGATAGCCGGCCTTCCATCACCCGGATGCTCTTGCGTAAAACGCGTGCAGAGCAGCTTGCACGTCGTCTTCTTAGGCCCCCTTCGCCGGTCCCCAGGCCGACATGTGAGGGGGACCCGAAACACTTAGAGGGTCAGGGCTAGGGCGAGATCCGCCTCCCTGGCCCCCGCTCGACGGCGGCGGGCTTGTGCGTCTCTCACGCGCCCCGCCGCCTCCTTCTGCGATTAATATACCCTTAATATACACATTTTCATACATGGTTTTAAAAATCATTTTTATCTGCCACTGCTGCTTTAACAAATTATTTGGTATTAATGCACCCAATTTCTTAATATTAAAGTAAGGTCACCATAACTTAATTTGTTACAGCAACTATTATATGAATTATTCCGATGAATGTAAGTGCTAATCCGGTTTTAATCGCCGATCTATATTATTACGAAAAATAAAACTTGTCGCACCCTTTTGTGTATAAAAACCGAATTATCTGAACAAGTATTATCAGTTCACGTTGATTTTTTAAAGAGCTCCAACCAATTTCACTCAAATGTATTCCAAGGTACTAAATTTTGCCACATATTTTAAGATAAACTACCGTCGTGTTTAGGTTAAATATATTACAGTGCTTTATTCTAAACATTTCAGGTTCTTTTAGTAGCCACTATTCTGGCCGCAGCCACGGCTAGACCTCAAGAGGGCCATGGCCATGGACACGACCACGGCCATGCGGTTTCATCTCAAAGCATCGCATTACACACGAGTCACGGACATGAGCATCAGCCGCATCACGCTCCAGCCCACCACCAAATACTTTTAACACAGCACGCGGGACACCATGATCACGAGAAATTGCACCATGGAGTTCATTTAGTGCAACACCACGGTCATGAACACCATCACGGACATGACGACCACCACGTCGACTATGACGTATGTTTGACAAAACTGCTTTTTGTAATGCTCGACCTAGAACTGTTCCTAACCATTATAGTCATGTTATAATTTTTAATGCAGGCTCATCCTAAATACGCCTTTGAGTACAAAGTAGAGGATCCTCACACCGGCGACAACAAGTACCAGCACGAGACCCGTGACGGTGACGTCGTGAAGGGCGTGTACAGTCTGCACGAGGCCGATGGTACCATCAGGACTGTTGAGTACAGCGCCGATAAACACAGTGGGTGAGTTATAAACAATTGATTTAGCATTATACATAGTTAATTAAGGTTTAATCAACTTCTAGAAACACTCGTTGCGTAATAAAGTTGGATTAGACTTCAAGACTACAGCTGTATGAAGATAAATCGAGTTTTTTTTTATCGCTTAGATGGGTGGACGAGCTCATAGCCTACCTGGTGTTAAGTGGTTACTGGAGCCCATAGATATCTACAACGTAAATGCGCCACCCACCTTGAGATATAAGTTCTAACGTCTCAAGTATAGTTACAACGACTGCCCCACCTTTCAAACCGAAACGGATTACTCCTTCACTGCAGAAATAGGCAGGGTGGTGGTACCCACCCGCGCGGACTCACAAGAGGTCCTACTATCAGTATTATTTACGTAGTGGTGATTATAAGATTGCATAACTACGGATTATACGTTACTTATTTATTTTGCGTTTGCGGATTAAGCGTTTGCTATTTTACTCAACATTTAAAATGTTACTTACTATTCTACAGATTCAACGCAGTTGTGAGACGCGAGGGTCATGCTTACCATGCTGTACCTGAACATCATCATCATCACTAATAATCGATGTTGATTTCAAGAACGGATGAGTCCGTATACAAATAAAATATTAATAATGTATTAGGATAAAACCGTTTATTTTGTGGTAAATAAAATATAAATTATTAAAATTAATATGTTTCTTTATTCAACAGAGTAATGTTTTACTATATAGAAACAAACGCAATGCCTCTATTTTCTTAATAGCTTGGCTTGGTTTCGGTCCAAGAACTTACATATCAATTTATCAGTGTATTTAATGCAATGAAAATATGTCGAAATTAAAAAAAAGTAAATTATAGATATATTTGTGTTATAGGATACTGATAATCTGGCTTCGTATCAACAGATAGACGTATAAAATCCCAGCCACCTCTGCCCCTACTGTTATAAAATTGCTTTAACGCACACATACTAGAAGCCTTCATTACTTTCACCCTACCATATTCTTCTACACCCACATCTTAACTCTGTTTAGTGTTCTTAAAATACGGTAGGTCGTGAGCTAGCTGTCACGATGCCACAATCACCCTACTTATTTGCTGCGATGCGTCGTATATTTCCAGTCAGAAGCCGTATTGCGCTAATATTGAGAATTACAACTGATTTCGCGGGAGTATCCAGTGCGTGATGTCTGTAGGCTTCGGCTACCAAATAAAACCAAGTAGGTCTTGAGCCAGTATGTAAACACTTCTTGAAAACGGATTAGTATTACCAACTTAAATACATACGAGGAGGGATCAAAAAGTAGTGAGAACGACATACTCCTTGGTAAGAAATAAAAGTATTGGCAGGCTAACTCAGATTGTAATTATAATAAAAGGAAAATTCTTCGATTTTCTTTTGTTTTTTTCTGAATGTAGTCACTTGTTTGCTTTGTGTCAAAGCGTGTTCTCGAAAATGAAGAAAAACAAAGTGAGAGCTGTTATTAAATACCTCTGCTTAAAAAGTTAACAACGCGAGATATTCATTGCGATTTGGAGGCAACATTATGAGAGTCTGCTCCGCCGTATTCCACTGTCGCTTGGACTTCTCAATTTCGAGTAGGGAGCACGAGCACGGAAGACGAACATCGTTGCGGTGATCCATCGACGTCAGTCACTCAAGAAAATATACACATAGAAAAATAAACAAAATCGAAACGGACCAGCGGTGAGATACTCAGTTAATTAGCTTTCCTGTTTTCATTCCAAAGATTACCCGCAATTTTAACTTTAAAACTCTTATTAACAACTAAGCGACAACAGTTTTTTTAAAATATCGTTTATTGAACAATTAACANTCGTTGCGGTGATCCATCGACGTCAGTCACTCAAGAAAATATACACATAGAAAAATAAACAAAATCGAAACGGACCAGCGGTGAGATACTCAGTTAATTAGCTTTCCTGTTTTCATTCCAAAGATTACCCGCAATTTTAACTTTAAAACTCTTATTAACAACTAAGCGACAACAGTTTTTTTAAAATATCGTTTATTGAACAATTAACAACAGATTTAAGTCTAATGATGATGGTGGTAAATATGATGCGTGCTGTGCTTCACGTCTGCGTGGAATCTGAAATTGAAATATTTTATTAATTTGAGTACAATTCATCCTCCCTTTAATTTCATGATATTAAGGCAATAATCTTTCTTACCCGCTGTGTTTGTCGCCGTGGTAGTGGACATGTCTCTCGGAACCGTCAGGTTCATGCAGCGCGTAGTATCCCTTCACGGCGTCACCGTCGCGAGACTCGTGCTGACTCTTGTGGTCCTTAGTGTGGTGGTCCTCTACTTTGTACTCGAACTCATATTTGGGATGAGTCTATTAAAAAAATTACAATTTTTTTAATTTCATTATGATTAAAAACTATAATAAAATTGACCTTGTGATAACATTTTGATACGTGATAAATTATAAATACATAGAACTTGTAGAAGAATGCTCATGATAGATTTGGTCAATTTAAAATCATAAAAGTTATGACCAAGTATGAACCTAACTCGCGGATCGGACATGACTGAAGACTGCTATGCATTACTGCTTAAACTATTTTGTTTGCTTTAATTTCTTGCATTATTTATCATCTATTAGAATTTATTTGTTACTTATTAGAAGTTACACTAAGAGAAAACAAATAGACACAGAAGACACATAGAAGTCGTCGTGGCCTAAAGGATAAGACGTCCGGTGTATTCGTATCTTCGCCCGGGTAGGTACCACCACCCTATCTATTTCTGCCGTGAAGCAGTAATGCGTTTCGGTTTGAAGGGTTGGGCGGCCGTTGTAACTATACCGAGAGCTTAGAACTTATATCTCAAGGTAAGTGGAGGAATTTACGTTATAGATGTCTATGGGCTTCGGTAACCACTTAACACCAGGTGGGCTGTGAGCTCTTCCACCCATCTATGCAATAAAAAATAAATAAATAAAAATTACTATCGACAACGCTATGGACTACATCCAAGCCGCTACCTATAAATGAATTTGAGCGTTTCTCAGGCTGGTACTTTCCTCGTGTCAATTTCCAAAGTCATCGCCTAACAATAGAGACCCAGAAGCTTCTTAATGAAATGCTAACAGTAACAATTCCAACTGAATATAATGACTGATTGGATTTATTTTAATCTGAAACGCAAAAGAACTAATTGCACGCTTGTTTAATCAGATTTTTTAACTTTTAATTACGTCGCCTGTGAGCTAGTCCTACTATATATGCAATAAAAATAAAAACGCGAACTTGGATAATCTAAATTATTACTTACATGATAATCGTAGTGATGCTCATGTCCGTGTCCGTGGTGTACAGTTTCGTGGTGTCCGTCGTGTTTGTGGATATGCTGGGAAGAAAACGCGTGCTCAGCCAACGCTGCCCCAACAAATCCTACCAGAACCAGAACCTTCAAACCGAAAATATAATAATAAAGTTAAAATCCTACTTTTAAACTTTAATTAAATATTAAAACTACTTTTACGGTTTACCCACGCGTTTTTTTTTTGAATTGTAATTATATTGTTTGCAATATTTTGATAATTTTACAGTTTTGATCGGTAAAGTAATTTGTAAAAAAAACTGAAAAGTATTCGAAAAATTGGACATGATAAATTGACAAAGAAAAACTCGAAACCATATCGTAAGACTAGTTTTAATTATGCTTTTTTTTTTATTGCCCTTGTAGGCATACGAGCATACGGCCCACCTGATGGTGAGTGGTTACCGTCGCCCATGGACTTCAGCAATGCCAGGGGCAGAGCCAAGCCGCTGCCTACCGCTTAATACTCTTTTCCTTATTTTAATAAAACTGGCTCTCCAACCCACACACCGGAACATAGCTAGGCTATTTGGCGCCGGACTCTAGTTGGAGGGTCGTCGCCATCGTTTGCGTTTTCGTCGGTAAATTAATCTTTAAAAAAACTGTAAAGTATTCGAATAATTGGACATGATAAATTTACAAAGAAAATCTCGAAATCATATCGTAAGAGTAGTTTTAATTATGCCCTGATAATAATTAGTTTTCCAAACACGTAGCTAAATTTGATCAAAGTCCGCGTTTGTCATTTAAGATACAGAATTATGATTAAAGTTAAGATTTTTTTATTCTAAAAGTTAAAGCATTTTAATCCCGACCTTAAACATTATGAATTGAATTTCGCTGCGAGTTACTGAAGAAATGAAACAACTGATAGCTTTCTTACAGTGTTGGTAGCTTATATAGTGTTATAATAATATAAGAAAAGCAATCGATTTACAAATAATCGAACGGGTACCTTACGTTTTACGTGTGTAATAATTATTACATACAATGCTTTCATAAGTTCTACAAGATTGTCAAGAAATTTACATTTAGTATAATATTAACAAACTTATGTGTGAAGTGAAAGTTCATTAGAGTTTTTTTCATTTTTCTTCATATTTAACTAACAATTTTACATACACAGACTAATTAACACATTTAAGAGGAAATTAGAATAATATGTGCAAGGCGCGTATTGCGCATAAACGAGTACTTATTAGCATTTTTATTATAAATTAAAAAGAATTACCTTATAAATATAGTTTAAAACAGATAATGAACGAGAAACACACTCTGAACTGGATATTTTTATCTTTAATCACTAAGAGCCGGCGGACACATGTGACTAATAATATAATAAATTAAACATACTCTGTTTTTATTTCGTCAACGCCATTTCTTCATATGTTATAAAAATCGAGAAATCTATCTCAATAACTGTTAATTTATACTATCGAAATGCATGGTACGAGTGTGCATCTAACACTGCTACCCTATAAAATAAGATTCACTTGTATCAAGTGATGTAACTCTGCAAGTCTTCAAATGTCACAGGCCGATATCAATCTAAAGGAATACATACGTACGTAACTTTCGTTCAGGAATCTCTTCCACGATGAAAACTTACTAAAATCTGCCTAAGAAAATTTGCATATTTACTAGAAGAGGTCGTATTGTAAGCCGGCATGGGTAGGAACCCCCAACCTACCAATTTCTGCCACGGAGTAACCATGCTTTCCGAAGTAGTTATGGGACGAACATTATAATAAATAATTGGACCTTTGACCTCGTGTACACAATTAGGGGCGATTCGATGGATGTCTATGGACTCCAGTAATTTTTCGGTAGGCAGCGGCTTGGCTCGGTAGACAGCGGCTTGGCTCTGTCCCTGGCATTGCTGAAGTCCATGGGCGACGGTAATCACTCACCATCAGGTGGGCCGTATGCTCGTCTGCCTACAAGGACAATAAAAAAAAACTTTTCTTCAGATGGCCGTGAGATCCTTGACCCATCTACCCAATAATAAGAAAATAATAAAAAATCAAGCAACATTATTTCTTGATTTTACACGGTCGAGACTTGATAACAAAATGCGTACAGCTTTTTAAAAAATGTTTATCGAATCAAGTGGAGAACAATGTATTTACACCTTATGAAATCGTTACACATAATACTTTTACTTAGCTACTGTTACTCGAAGTGAAACTAAGCCTTGGATTTCATAAAATATATAAAACGGGGAAATTCGATTTTTTTTTCATTCAACAATCGACTGCTGCTCTGAAAGCACAACTAATTCAATTAACATGATGATCAAGGTAATCAGTTTATAGTAGCTTTCACTTAATGAATTTGAATTTTTAATACGCTTTTATTAGCTTCAGATGTATGTATGTTAGTATGTAACGGAATCTTTGATCATGATTTTGACCCCTTCAAAACGTCGGATTAACTCGAAATTGGTATACTCATTAAGGACCGATGACAATTCAATATTAAAAAAAATATTGAAAAAATTTAAATTCAACTAAAAAATTAAATTCAAATTTATTATAATTTATTTTCTATTTTTTAGTTGGATTTTCTATAAAGGCGTATTTTGTTAGTTTTTTTAAACTATTATTTATTAGTTAGGTAAAGTCCTTACCGCTTGTTCCTTTTGTATTTTAAGGTATTAATGTTAGTGACCGTCATCGGCGCAGTGGCTGCCGAACACGCGTTCTCCTCTCAACACATTCACAAGCACGACGGTCACCATGAGACCGTACATCATCATGACCACCACGGTCATGAACATCACGATTACTACGTAAGACGACCACATTATTAGTATAAATTAATCACATGTGTATCGAAAAAATCCGATTAATACGGTATAACTTCGTACAGACCCACCCCAAATACGAGTTTGAGTACAAAGTAGAGGACCACCACACTAAGGACCACAAGAGTCAGCACGAGTCCCGCGACGGTGACGCCGTGAAGGGATACTACGCGCTGCATGAACCTGACGGTTCCGAGAGACACGTCGACTATCACAGCGATAAGCACTCTGGGTATGGAACACCTTAATTTTAAATTAATTTCAATTTAATTTTATGGCTTAACCTATTATAAATGTTCATCACTGTAAATATTATAGATGTCAAATTTCCACAAAAATAAAAATATATATTTAAATACGTGTTATTCCGAAAGAGAACAATGAAATGTTTACTACAAAAGAGGAAATGCAGCAATGTAACAAAAATATACGATTAGTCTAGGCAAAGCAAAAAGTTTTGAAGTCGTCGTGGCCAAAAGGATAAGACGTCCGGTGCATTCGTATGAAGCGATGCAACGTTGTTCGAATCCCGCAGGCGGGTACCGACTTTTCTAATGAAATACGTACTTAGCAAATGTTCTCAATTGACTTCTACGGTCAAGGAATAACATGGCCTAATAAAAAATCAAACCCCCAAAATAATAATTTGCGTAATTACTGGTGGTAGGACCTCTTGTGAGTCCACACGGGTAGATACCACCACTGTACCTATTTCTGCCGTGAAACAGTAATGCGTTTCGGTTTGAAGGGTGGGGCAGCCGTTGTACTGTAAAAACTGAGACCTTAGAACTTTTATCTCAAGGTAGGTAGCGGCATTTACGTTGTAGATGTCTATGGGCTTCGATAACCACTTAGCATCAGGTGGGCTGTGAGCTCGGCCACCCACGTAAGCAATAAAAAAAGCAGATTTAAACAGAAGTAATACACAATACTATTATTAACTATTTGATTATTGTAACAGTTGAAATGAATGAGTCTTATTTTTCAGATTCCACGCCACTGTTAAACATAGCACCCATCATATTGTACCCGAGAAGCATCATGAACACCACCACCATTAAACATTTGATAAACTTGTTAAGAAATATTACTTCTGTTATTTTGTATTAATTGATTGATTTCTTAGAATATTTTTCAAATAAAATATGTTAACATTACAAAATGTTTTTTGTACAACTCTTCTAAAACTTACATAGCCTAACTATAAAAGACCTTAGTAAAATTATGACTTTATCTAAATCTATAGGAAGTAATTTCATTTTCATTTATTTATTTATGTACACACAGAAAAGATGACATAGTACAGAGTAATAGGAAAATTATGTACAAAGGCGCTGCTTATTTCTTTAAGAAATCTCTTCCAGCGGACCTGCGAGAGGATTATGAGAATAATAATTAATAAGTAATTTTAACATTATTCAAAATATTTTAAAATTAGTAAATAATTACATCAAAATCTATCGCAGACAATTAGACGGTAATTAGCGTAATACTCGAATATCGTTCGTGAGTACTAAAGCTGTAAAGTAATAACGAAACATCGGAGAAAGTAAAATGAAAATAATAACGGTTAGCTGGTAGATAACTCAATTGTTGAGTTAAGCTCGCCATTTTTTATATCTTATCCCAATTACTGTATTTTATTATCAGTGTGTACAAATAAAGAATAAAGAAGAAGAAAATTTATTATATACATATTTCAATGCAATAAAACTCAAACAAATTCGTAAATATAAAACTGAAGAAAAACTATTATGCTTTGTTCTCGGTTTATTTTGTTCTAAAAAAAAAATATTTCTCTGTCACAATTTAACCGGTAACGATATTAGGCTCATGGGAGCTTAAATATCTTACTCCTTAATCTCATTGAAATTTAAGGCAATTTAAATTTCCCGAATTTTCTTTAATAAGTTAATATAAAACAAAATATCGGCTAGTTTCATTTGACTCTGTAGAGAAGAAGGGTTTCTCGCATTGCAGATAATCCTAATCTCACGGATAGATTGGAATTTCTGAGTCTACGAAGTGAATTCTTTTTTCTTCTTGTTTCCTACCGCATATTTCAAAGGGACTATTCTAAATAATTATTTTCGATAATCCTCATTTTTCATTGGATAACCTGTCATCACAGCAAAAATTATTCATAATGGAACGATTTCGCTCTTTTTTTTCTTCCTACCTATGCTGATAGCCTTGAGAGGCTATTTCAGCTTCTGTTAGACGTGTAGGTGAGCTCACGGAACTCAAACCGGGAGTGTTGCTAACGCTAGTCCTAGCAAGAGCGGCGCTTCGCAGAAACTACCACCGGATCGGAAACGCGACACACTGAGAAGATCCGGCGAGAAACTCAGTGAGCAAGTCGCTCTTCTACACTGCTTTGTCAAGGATTTCTAGCAGGCTGACTTTAGAATGAACGTCTTTTCACGGTCCTTCCTTAGTTCTATCATATGTTCTTCTTTAAACAGGATTTGAAACGAATGCCTAACGTTCAGGAGGCGGTGTAAGGATAGTGCCCATAGCATATCATAAATCCATGAGAAACGATCACCAGTGATCAAAAAATCCTCGGCCTTCAAATAAAACCAAAACAATTATTGATAAAGTTAAGTATTTCAATGAACGTGCGGTGAAGTTTTTTACTTTTCTGCTTTTTCGTCATAATATGGAAGGTTTTCCAAATGAAAGAATACTTATTGATTGCGTAATGAGGAAGTTGTAAATCATCATAATATTTTATTTGTACTGGTCTAAACTCAATAATTTTGTCCAAGTTCAATCGAGTTAATCCCTCAAAATTTAATTAAGTTTGACGTGTTTAGGGCGTACCAAGACACGTTTATAGTCAAAATCGATACTTCCTAAGTAACAAATCTTAATTATCAAAGCATAACTCATTCTCGTAACAATTATCTTTACCAAATATTTCCCCTTCAACAATATTTTCGTAAAACATTACGATACGGTGAAGGTCTCAACATCCACGTTAACTGAATAAAATCACAATCCATACTGATTTTGGTACTAATTTATTGTAATTGTCTGTGTGATTTAAATTTATTTGAAAAAAAACAGGCCCTAAATTTCATGCCGATTCTTCTTGAACATTAATTCATAACAACTAAAAAGGCTCTGTAAAAGCCTATTAGAGAGAAAAGCCCACTGAGTTTCTCGTCGGATCTTCTCAGTGGGTCGCGTTTCCGTTCCGCTGGTAGATTCTGCGAAGCATTGCTCTTGCTAGAGCCAGTGTTAGCAACACTCCCGGTTAGAGCACCATGAGCTCACCTACACGTCAAGGAGAAGCTGAAATAGCCTCTCAAGGCTTTCAGCATAGATAAGAAAAAAAGAAGAGAGAAAACACAAAATATTTTAGTTGTAGTTAGGTCGTGACATACCTGTCACATTTTCAGAAACAATGCGGCAAAGCGCTCCACTCCGTCATATAATAAGTGACGAGATGCGTCTATTACACCAATACTAAGAATGTGAGATTTAACTTTATAGTATTTTTATGATACTTTATTTCGAGTTGTTTGAGCAGTTAAAACATTTTATCATCATATTTCGTAGTACGTTACAACGCACTGCAAAATGTTCAATGATATTACTGAGCTTCTTTTTCTTAGATTTCTGTGCACCAAAAACAAACTGGCATATTACATTATTACATCTGTGACGTCTTTTCTTTACAAAAATATTTGAACGTTTAATATTAATTGAACAGTTGAGATTATATATATATAACTATAGCTCTAGAGATCTAAAGATTTAGATTCGAGTTTGTATTGTTTTGGAATTTGGGAAAAAACTGCTTCCGAAAACTTTAATTGATAAACTTAAAATTAAATATAAAATGAATAATTGATTCACATTAAAATTATACGGATCTTTTGCTATTTAGTATATATAATCAATATTACGAAAATATTATGTTTTTAGTTATATATTTGATCTGCAAGATAATATGTATCTATGTGATATTTATTAAAAGCTCAGATTTATAAAAGCTAATTAATTCTGTTTAATTTCTTCGAAGATTCCGTCTATTGTATTTAGAGGAGTATCACTAGGAAATACAGAAATAGTATCTCTGCGGTGATAACGTTGTCATATTGCAATAAAATCTAGCTTGACGATCTTTTAAAAATAATAAATGGAAAAAACTAAGGGCGAGACATCAGAGACAAAAAAGAACTACTACTGATAGTAGGACGACTTGTTTCCACACGGGTACCACTACCCTGCCTATTTCTGTCGATAAAACAGTAATTCTATTCGTTTTGAAGGGCAACCGGTATACTATAAAAACTGAGGCTTACGACTCAAATTTCAAGATAAGTGTTTGAATATAACTATATATAGGCTACGATGACCATTTAACACCAGGTGGGCCATGAGCTCGAAAAATTTGTAAATATAAATGGTGCAAATCCATAACTTATCACACATTACATAGTAATGTGTGATAAGTTGTATGTAAACATTAGAATGTAAACATTAGAAGCTATCTCAATTGGTACTCCAGAAATCCTGAGTGAAATTAATAAAAGTATAAACTTCATAGTTACGGAGAAAATAATATTATAAGTAACAAAAAACTATCAATTTTTTTTTAATTTTTATTTGATTTCTCAACAAAACTAAATAACAATCAGTAATATACAATGCTATATCTAATTCTTAAACAAAGCCTTATCACAGAATCGATTAACGTTGCTTACTTGGGTGCTTCGTGTGTGACGTGACCTTCGTGCTTCACTTTGGCTTTAAATCTGTAAATTACAAATTACAAAACGCTAAAATCATTATATTATTTCAATATATAAAGGTCAATGTTATTGTAATTATTTTACGTCATCTATTCGACTTAACCTATGGTTAAAGCCTCCGAATACAATCAAAGTTAATAGTTAATTAATTGTATGGTCAAAACACTTGTCTAATGCCATCCATATGGAGTAGGTATTGAGTAATTTTAAGCATTACTACTACGGTATCTATCTCTGATTATTTTTTTATTGGCTGATGAGTCTATAACTGAAGTGCAAATAGTTGTCTTGGACATATATTAGAAATATGTACCTGACCATACGACATACAAACGCATACCAGCGCATTGATTTCGGGACAGGAATCAATTGTAAACTACTTATAAAGTATTCGCTAATAAATGAACATTGTAGTTTAATATAGTTTAATAATGTAAGAAAATTAGTTTATTAAAATTTTATTATCTATGAACTCCGGTAGT